TTATCAGGAATGTTCTGCATTAGGCAGGAGATCAAAATAAACAAGCACAATTATCTCCTCCAGCCTCAATTAACCAGCAATCAGCCTACTTTCAACAAAATAAAAATGGCATGGTAACATCGAGGTATACTGTATTAGAGATTTTAGTAAAAATAACTCAAGATAAATTCAGATACTTTGAAGTGTTTCTTATTTTCAGAATTACGACATTCATACTTGGGGGGAATAACTGATAGATTCATAAGAAAGTCCATGAACGTTCAACTGCTGTAACATCATAGGATTGGCTTCAGATAGATTTCAAAATTATCTGTATAGCAGACATCTGCTATACAGATAAACCCCAAACTACACAGAAGAGCCTCAGAAAGCATTTTATGCACTCAAACATTTTATTAAGCAATCTACAGCAGAATCCTAAGGCTGTGCTCAGGATTTGAAATTCTGGCCTTAGACTTCAAAAAGCTAGTTGACCCCAGAGGCGGTACTTTCAGATAGTCCAAGATGAACTTGCAAAACATAACAGAGAATGGAGCTGAGACTTAGGAAATTCAATGAGCACAAAACACAGGTAGCTGGTGGCCTCCACACGTTCCACGTCCATGCTTTCACAAGCATGACTTCTGTTTAGGACAGCTCATATTTGTTTCTCTTCAGCTTAATTTCTTTTTCTCAACTATTGTTCAGCAAATTAGACCATATTTATTGGGTTGCCAAGTGACTGTTCTCCTTTGGATCAATGACAGCTAGCTCTCTTTTAATTAATGATGTTTTAACTTCACAGAGCACTCCAATCAGTCTCGTTTTGCTAGAAATCCATACAAGTAAAAACAACTGTTAATCTTGAAATTCATATTATACCTGTTTAGGATTCATATGCACACACATAGTTTTTATAATCCTCATTTGGATTCTTTTCCTAAATACACATAAAACATGGAATAATTTTAATGTCTTACTTTGTAGGAGGTGGAGACTAACAGATGTGCGATATTCTGAACAGCTCCATGGTTAAATAAGATTGTCTGGTGATCTGGACCCTTCAAAGGAAAACATGCAACATGATTTACTTTCTTTAAAGAACATGTAAGAGGTTTCCACTATCTGCAACTTACTGTTAAGTATTAAAGGTAGATTTACTAACATTTACTTTGTAATCAGCTGACATACTAACTTTTTATTTTTAAATGAACAACTACAACAGCATTTGTTCTTTTCCAGTAATCATTTCCACTCTTTTCTTCAATAGGCAATGAAATTAGTTTTCACAACTGCAAAAACTTTAGTTACAGAAAACTTTATAAAAATAGAGTACTTATGTTTCTACTCTTTATATTGGAAACAATTGAAAGCTCCTGATTTTCTCTAAAAATAGTACCAATTATCCCAGTTACTAACATCTTCACTGGTAATATTAAGCATTTTCAACAATTATAACTTCAGAAATGAAGGAATTAATTCTGAAACTGTTTCCTGAATGTGGTAGTGCTTTGAGAACAGATTTACATTTTCCTCCCACGGATTATTTTAGTTTCAAACATATTTACCCATAAACGTAGTCAGCCACCACCCATTTATTGTCTTCAAGATCTACCCTGGCAGTGGCCAATACATCAATATTTTTCCAAGATTGGAAAAGCATCTGGAGTTCAACAGATACTGAACTTTGCAGTAGAAAGATCTCGGAACTTCTGTAGTATGACAAAGCTTGATGAGGTTGGAAAAACCAACACGAAATCTCAGCAGGGCCTGCAACCCTCAACAGTCTCTTGTGAAATCTGATCTGTGACTAATAAACATCTTTTCGGAAGTAGCTTCATGACTCTAGTCATCTTTACATTAAGCACGAGCTACACGCAGTTTAAAACCAGCTTTTAGAACATCACAGCATTAATCATACCTTGATGCATTTTCTTGACTAATGTGCAAGTGAAGAAAGTATCTTCACTCCTTGATCTTTTGTTCAAACCCAGCTGAGTTTATGTGCACATCTAAACACCCTAGTAGGCATGAGTGGTGCTTTATTTTCACATTTGAAAACCAGCTGACATCAGATTCCTCTTATAGTCAAAAGAACATTTTTAGAACATCCCTTACCTCTAAGGAAAAAAAAAGCATAAAATTACTTCAGATGTAACATATCTGGTGCTTTAAGAGATGCTTCAGCTGCTACTGCCACCAAGAGCTTTCTACCAAAAAATGCAATTAAAACAGCATGGTTGAAGTAGGAAAACAACTTACATTGGCACACAGAAGTGGCTGAGGCAATGATTTAAAGCCGCAGCTATGCCAGTGTTGAAGCTGAAGAACAGATATTAAAATACGTGAAAAAAAAGAATGAAATTAAAGTAAAAGAAATCATACTGACCTACACAGTTTTAGTAATTCACAAGTATTAGTGACTTTTCAATGAGATGTAGACAGTAAATTCTGTGCAAACAGGACAAACGCATGTACAGAAGTGACACTTGGGTGTATTCTCATTTGCGTAACCAGATGAACAAGAAAATACCTAAGCTGTACGCAGTGTGTTTGCACACACCAATCCAGCTTCTTTTAACGCACAACCAGGTTGAGCACTAACTCACAAATAGGGACAGCTTCAAATACAAATGTGAAAACTTGAGAATATTATGTATCATTTCCAAGCAGCTCAGGCACCAATTTAATAGCAAGACCTTTCATTTTTACATCTTTTTGCGTATACCAACAGAGTTCCAGGAGCCAGTCCTATTACAGTCATCTTTTACTCCAAATATGATTGAATGACATAATATTTCAGGAATGGAAATTACACTTCTTGCATGACTTTCCACCATAAAATTTTCAAGAAAGCAGTAGGATAGAACAACGTAACAATTAATTCCATCAATGAAATTTTAAAAGCGTATATCTAAATGCAAATGTACCTTGGTTCAGGGGTCCAGCATCAAGCCTAAGATCATATAAGAAAACATTCTCAGAATGGGGCTGGGAGGAAGCTGCTTTGATTACAGGCTGTATCCTGGATCTTTCCCAGACATAAGATTTTAATTTTCAACTGGTGGTGAAATTACTACTCATGCAGAGGTGTCACCACATTCAAATATAAGTTCCAGAACTCTTTTCAAATAACTCAGATGACAACATTTCCCAATGTGTGCCTTATCTTTTTAATTTGACCATTAAAATAGCAAAGCTTTCCTACCCACATCACTTTCTCTGAAAACAAATCAACTGCAATAGAGAGAACCTTAAAAAGTAAATTCTGACTTGTATTTTAGCATACTGTGTACATCAACCTAATTTTTTTATTTGCTTATATGTTGATAGAATCCTGGCTCTGTATGTTAAGAACTTCATCTGCTCCCCCAGTAAATCAACACTTTCCCTCGCTTAGGATGACTCTTCTCCAGGGTCAATGTTTTCCATTAGTTAATTTTAATTAAAGTGCAGTGAGAAGCTATAAAAGTAAGCACTAAAAGCAGAAAACAGCAGCAATACGCTAGGAACCTGAATTAAGGATTTCCTAGCTCAAGAAAACAGGTCTGAGCTTCTCCAGGGAAATTTGAGCAGGCAAGAAAGAAAGAAACCTGAGAAGCCCAACCAAACAAGATTCTGGCAAGGAAGAATAAAAAATGGATGCACAAGATGTAAGCAGAGAACAGTATGCAGGAAAAAGGAGGGCAGAAGCTATGATACATCACTATTAGTTTAATGAATAAATGTACTAAGATGAGGAAAAAGAGAAATGAAAACATCAATACCGCTTATAATATATGCTAAGCCTTACCTAAATACTAAAGATTACAGTAAACTAGTTCTGGAAAAAGTTAGAAAGGTTCTTTCACTCATGGCAATTTGGGGGGAAGTTGAAGTCTTCATTAAAAATGTAGTAAATATTGAAACTTTCAGTATTTCAGTTTTCTTCTTCAAATTATAAGAATATACTTTGCTTATCCATATAAATCAGAAAATCCCCTGCAAATTCTGCTTCACTGTATTAGATGTATTTTGTTATGAGTAATGGTTGGACTTGATGATCTTAAAGGTCTTTTCCAACCTAGTTGATTCTATAATACTATGAAAATACAGTAATTGACCTTGATAATCAGACCTGAAACCCAAGAACCAAACAAAAATGAAAGAGGCCATTTCAGGTGTTTGCTGAACAGCTGCATTAGACTGGGCAAGAGAAATGAGTTCTTGACCAATTTACCATTTGTGATGATCTGTTTACTCAACCTCAAATATTTGTTTTTGCTATGCAGCTAATGTTTATTCTGTAAATGCAACTATTTTCTAATACTCTTCTCTTGTGCATTCATGTTTCTAGGTGTTCACACAATTATCCTTCTCTTCCCAAAAATTTGTAACATTCACTGTAAAATTTGTTCAAGAGATACCTGAGGGGTGGAGGAGGCGGCATTAAAAACCTGAGTGAATACAGTGAGCTCATAAGACCTTCTTTACTCTAGTCCTGTCAAGTGACTGCTACAAGGAAGTAACTCATTTGGAAAAAGATGACAATAACTGTTTTTCATGTTGTATTGATTATATGTAGTTACTCAGCATTTCTCACGCAGCCAACAATACAAAACAGGGTTTATATTGTTACAGAGCTAACTCCTGGATTGTATAAACTGATTTCTATACCACCCTATAAGCAGTCCTGTGTTATTTTTCTTGTAAGCCAACATGGCCCTATTTTTCACCTGTTCCAGCTACTCGGTCTACTAAGGAGACTTTCAAGGGCTTAAGCAGGAGATGCCTCAATGGTGCATTTTTCTTCTTAAAATACCAATTTCTTTTTGGCTGGATGGTCGTGCTCAGAGAGCTGCAGTCAATGGCTCAATGTCCCAGCAGAGACCAGTGACGAGCGGTGTTCCTCAGAGGTCAGTACTGGGACCAGCACCATTTAACATCTTTGTCAGCGACATGGACAGTGAGACTGATGCACCCCCAGCAAGTTTGCTGATGATACCAAGAGCTGTGTGGTGTTGTCAACATGCTGGAAGGAAGGAATGGGGTCCAGAAGGACCTGGACAGGATGGAGAGGTGGGACAATGCAAACCTCATGAAGTTCAACAAGGCCAAGTGCAAGGTCATGCACGTGGGTCAGGGCAATCCTAAGCGCAAGGTCCTGCATGTGGGTCAGGGCAATCCTAAGCGCAAACACAGGCTGGACAGAGACTGGATGGAGCAGCCCTGAGGAGAAGGACTTTGGGGTGTTGGTTGACGAGAAGCTCACCATTACGCATCAGTGTGTGCTTGAAGCCCAGAAACAACCCATGTCCTGGGCTGCACGCCCAGCAGCATGAGCAGCAGGTGGAGGGCAGGGATTCTCCCCCTCTACTGTGCTCTGGGGAGACCCCCCCTGCGGTCCTGTGTCCAGCTCTGGGGCAACAAGAGGGACGTGGAGCTGTTGGAGCAAGTCCAGAGAAGGCCACGGAGAAGCTGCGAGGGCTGGAGCAGCTCTGCTCTAGAGCCAGGCTGAGAGAGGTGGGCTGGTTCAGCCTGAAGAAGAGAAGGCTCCTTAAGGAGAGACCTTAGAGCAGCTCCCAGTGCCTAAAGGGGATGACAAGAAATCTGGAGAGGGGCATTTGACAACTGCATGGAGTGACAGGACAAAGGAGAATGGCTTTAAACTGACAGGGGAGATTGAGACGAGACATTGGGAAAAATGTCTAATTAGTGTAGTCACACTAACTACAGTTTCCAGTCTTTCAAAAAGAGTGCAATTGGATGGCTGTACATAAAGAATAGTGAAGGTAGAGAAAAAAATATTTTTAATGAAGGAATAATTCAGAGTTCCAGAAGACTCATTGTAAGTGATAAGGAAGAAAGAAATTTGAGGCAAATCCTTAAAAATTCATAAATTTTGGACTGTTTTCATTTGTTAGTCTGAGAGATAAATACAATGTATGATCTTTTAAACTGTTTCTAAAAGGGAAAGATGCTGTATAAGTCTGATTTCCTACACTGAATTATTTTGATACAGTTACTGTATAACCCATGGGTACAGTAGCTACCAAAGAAATGCAATACAAAAAGTAGTGGTGTATAGAAACATGGTGGGGGAGAAGGGAGAAGAGACAAAACCCTCTGTGTCTGGAGTGAGCTTACTGCTGTTTTTAAGTTAGTTTACCATACCAAGAGCTTTGCATTATATAGCTGGAATGCACATGTATCTGGAGAAACCTGTAACTGGTAGAACTCAACTAAGAGCATTTTCCTTCCTCTCAACCTACAGCCTTCAAAAACTTACACTGACAACAGTGAGGACTGATACTTGCCCACACTGTTGACTTCATTTAGAAGCCAAAGGTATAAACACACACACAAGAAAAAAAACCCACTTATTCACATATTTCATTTAACTATGTGAACCCCAATGAATCCATCAGCAAATCCAGAGCAGGAACTGTTCAGTCATTACTGCCCTAATGTTCCTGCCACAAAAGGCAGTATCATCTTCCACAGCTTCTTATATGCCAGAAACACAAGTTGCATAAAGAATATTTATTCTCTTTCTTACTTTGCAGCAATGTGAGAAGATCTGACATATGTATTCTTGTGTATATCGAGACCTACTGAGCAGTGCCATGAGGTGGGAGATAACTGTAGCATCCTGGAAACAAGTGAGAAAAGAAAAAGGTATTAACACTGTATTTCAACATAGTTTCTTCACAGTTTGCTACTTAGGAAGAGTACTCAATTCTGCATTCAATGTTCTCCCATCCATTTGCATGGGCACAGGGCAAGACAGTTAAAATAGTACAGGAGAGACACAGGAGAGACTTCAAGGCACAAGTGACGGTTCTGAGCTAAGTCCTCATGTAAAACATAAAACATCAATGCAAGTTAGATATTAAACTGGATTTGTCTCCAGATTCTTTACTTCATAAGAAAACAATGAAAGAATGGGGGGGACTCCAAAAACATACTGACTGCAAATATAGTTACTGAAAGTAATTACTTCAGGAGTTGTGTTAGTTTTTTCTCAGTACAAGTGTGTTTTACTTACCTCTTCATGTCCAAGTAGAAAAAAGCAGGGAGGGGAACAAGGTACCAGACTGCACAATCTATGGCTCACCATAAATTCTGTGGGACTCACTTTCTAACTGAATCACGATTCACTGACTGAGTTTAAGTCAAACATACACAATAGGTGCTATTAGTATGTGTGACACTAATTCCAAATATATCAGCAAAAGAAAATCATTAGTTCCCTTCTAAAAACACATCTGGTTACTTAAGCTTTGTGGTGTATCACGAAATTTTAAAGCTTTTAGTTACTTTTACATCCTGGTAAAATGGCAGCAACTGAAGTGGTATTAAAAGAAATACTGGTCATTTTAGTTTGGAATGGTGGTTAACTAAATTACTTCCATAAGAGAAAGCGTGTTGGACAGAAGAGTTGAAAGACTGTATGAGTCTTCCTTCACAAAGAACTTATGCTGTATTCTCCCTATACAAGCAAGTCATACTCTTTGTTTTACCTGCAGAATGATGAATTGCAACCCTCTGACGAGGGAGAAGTGGATTAAAATTAGAGCAAAATCTTCATGCTCCTCAGCTGCTTTTACAGTAATTAAAGTAGCACCAGCCTGTTTTAACGATTACAGCTTCAGAGATACACAGCTGTTTATGACAAGTTTTATTTCCCAATTACTTAGGAAGTTTCCAACCACACTTTCTTATATTAGCAAAATAAATGTCTCTCTTTCATATACATATATAAAACATAATATAATATAATAGCTTATTTTAGAAAGCTTTGCTGCCAGCAATCCAGCCTTCTTATTCTCCACAGAAAACAATAGGACAACAGGGCCAAGAAACACACTGAGAATAAAAACAACTTGTTTCTACTGCTTGTTTCTCAATAACTTGGAAGGATCAATATGCAACAGCCTCATTTGCCATTTCAACATCCTATAGAGAGATGTCCTGGAGTTCTTCAAGGTCCACCATCCATTGCACACTTATGTGCACAGAAAAAGCAAGGGACAAACTATCCTAAGCAGTATTCTTATGGCCTGGCCAACAGCAGCTCCATCTGATCTACCTTTACACATGGCATATATACAAACACATCTATTTCTCTGGTTTCTTTGCAACTTCGGAACCAGAAGGCCTGCAGAGAATTGGTTTGGTTGCTAGGCAATTCGGAACACTAAATCCACAAGTATGTTGTAATAGCACTGATGGTCACAACCTAAACGGGGTGACTCTTGACTCCCCCGACAGAGGTAAGCCTGCAGTGGTGTATAAATGAAGTGGGTATTGGGTTTAGGGCATATGCCAAGCAGAACAACAAATTTCCATGAGAAACCAAACAGAACCAGCTAACAGGCCAACCTTGTTGTCAAAAAAGCCATGGTACAAAGTCACAGCAGGTCCCAAGACTTCCAGGTGTCTCCTTTGAGTTACAGCAAAACAAGCTGACAATGTACCCAGGATTCCTCAGTGGTTTAACACTTTGAACCCATTAAACCAGATTCTTGTCATCTTATGCATCTTCTGGCAGCTGAAGATAAGTCACAGTACTGTTCAACACAGAATACATATATACATGCTAAGAAGCTTATCAGTGGTAAAATGCATCTTAGACAAAACAATCAAGACGTCAGGAAGGGAGCGGGCAGAGAAAAGAGACACCTCAGGATTCAGAGGCAGTAACAGTTAAAAAAAGGAGCTTCAAAATGCAAGGTGCAAGACCTGAAGTCTGCAGGGAAATCACTGATTATCTCATCTGGCTTATTGAAAAAGTTGCAACTACAAGGATGAAAATGTTGGTCTAAGTTCTTCTTAATGTGGGGAAAGTGGAGTGTCTGCCCTCAATTCTTGATTAGGCCCATAATTACTTCTTTAATTGCAAAGACATCTTCTCAAATGCTGCCTTGTGAAACACAGTTTGCAGCAGTTTCTTACCTTCCAAGAAACAGGAAAAGCACCTTTGCTTTTGAAGGGATCTTCATTCATTACTCTTTAAAGCACGAGTTTGGGTATTCCCACATGAGAAGCAAAAAAGTAGCTAACACACAGAAATAGGACCTTAAGCACAACCATAAAATACTTAACGTTCAGGTGTCCAAATGGAATGGGATACTGGAAAATGGGTATTACAGTTGAAATTAAAACACGGGCACCCTCACCAGATGATCATTTCCTATAGTTATGATTAATTAAGGGACATCACATTTGCCTGAATAATGGAGTAGCAGAGTTCTGATGTCACTGCTATGCAGCAGGGAAATGCAAAGGGTGAAACAGAAAATCCATTATCTTAGGCATATTGTTCCCACAATGTTAGTGGTAATTTATATGCTACCAGTGGTTCTTCCACATTTCTGTACATGCTCTTTCACTTCCTCTCCCTTCAAGATACCAAATCTCTCCTCCAAATAGGGAGGAATTAACAGTCTCATTAAGCACTGAGTCCCAGGAAGAGATATGGATTGTAATGGAGCCAACCATTTTAAGCCTGACTTTGAATGCCGAAAGCAGGAAGATGCCCCTGCAATTATAAAGTCTCCAAGGCCAACTTGCGGGAATCTGCAAGCATAATGGAAGGAACTGAGAAACAAAGAGGAAATTCTCAGATCGCCCATAAGAGGTGCCTTCAGTGGTCATACATTCAATCTGCACTGAGGGCTTCCTTGCTGAGCAATCAAAAAACAACTGGAAAAAGGCAATGCACAGCAGAGGACAAATCTGGCTGATTATCTACACATACTAAATACAAGGGTAAGCTGTGAAGAGCTGCAGGAGGACTTCATGAGATGGACTACCTAGCAGACAAAATTCAGAATAGGTGTATGGTAAAACTGAGTCCATAGAAAACAAGTTTACACACCTATTTCTGCAATGAAAATGTAAATAATTAGAAAAGAAATAGAGAACAAAGCCATTACAGTACTACATAACCACTAGACAAAATCATGAGGATAATCTGTTGAGGACTATTAATACACAAAAATTGTCTCCAGTAATGATAGAGACACCTGAACCACAGAGAAAGTATGAAATCAGAGGCCATCTGTGCCCCTCACTGTAAGCATCAAGTCTTCCTCAGCAAGCAACAGTCATCCCTTTGAGCGGTGGGACTAGAGTGGTTAGCACTGTGGGCTTCCAATTACCCTCAGAAGTTGAACCTGCTCACTGAGATCCAAGCCAGCACACTGCTGCAATGCTACTCTTTTCCTAACAGAGAGAGATTGCTAATACGGTTCACGTGCCACAGCTTTCTTCTTCTCTTACACTGGGACAAAAGAGAAAGGAAAAGAAGAAATCTCCTTCCAACTACGAGATAGTGAGTGAGTTTCAGCAAGGCCTTTTGTGTCCAAGCTGCTAAAAGACAGCCCTACCTTCAGACAGGGCTCCACATCACTGGCTTTGCCCAGTCACCCTAACAAGGTCAGCACCAACAGCCCTATTGCTCACACACTCCAAGGTGAACTTAAGATTATGAGTTCAACTGCTCATATGAGCAACTGTGGAGGACATTTCCTCTATTCCTGTCAGTTTAATGTAAATCACACATATGTTAACGAAAAGCAGAGAAATGTTGAAGATGAATCTTTCCCACACAAACTGCAAAAACAAAGCAAGCACCCTCACACCTGGAGTGGGAAGATAGTGTCAGGTAACATTTTAAGTTTCAGAAACTAACTTTTGCCAATATAGCTGTGATAATGGTATCTGTAAATACCTTTTAGAGACAGTTTTCACTCGTTAAGATTGCACATAAGCCTGAAAATTTTGGTGTGCTACCTTGCTGACCATCTCCTATCATATATTGCTACAAACATTAGGCAAGCTAGAGGTCTTAAACAAAGGTGAGAAATGCTAACACTGTTGGTCAAATAAGTCCTCATTACTACTGCAGACAGCAAGATTTTCACTCCCACCAGGTTTATAGGTTTTAAAAGGATAATCATCTTACAACTTACTGTATATAATAGATCCTCTGGAGTTACAGGACTGATGAAAATAGTACGGAGACATCGCAGGCAAGCTTCAATAAACTTCAAATCTGGCGACAGCAATCCTACAAATACAGACAAAACCTACTATTCAGCTTCATTATCTTCGTTTATTTGAGTACTTTAGGAACATTTATTAACATAGATCCATTAAGGGAAAAGTACCTTGCAATAAGGCTGGGATAATATGGCAGTCTAGTAGGGATTTGACATTATTCTCTGTACCCATTGCGAGGCTTCCAAGGACCACTGCGCATTCTGTTCTCAGTTCTGTGCTGGAGGTTTCTTGCTGAAGCAAATACAGCAACCTGGAAATAGAATTATTTTTAGAGTAAAATTCAGATTAAAAAGAACTTCTATGTCTAGTAAAAAAAAAAAAGTAATATGAATCCTGCTACGTAAAGAAGATGAAGGCTGAACTAAACAGCAAGATGAACACTTTAGTCATGAGAACCTTTTTACACTGTGTGCTCCTACACAGGTTTTACTTGCTATTATGGTACAAAGATACCACACTGGTGGGTCTGGCTTTTCTAAAAAATGCAGTGTCACAGTACTGATATCCGGGATGAAGTCTTTCAGGATACCAGGAAGACCCCAAATTTCAATTAAAGGAAATGAGTCTGCAGTTTGACGTCAACGGGAAAGGGAACCTCATGAATCTCCCCTAACACCTAGTGACATTATTACCGCTAGTGTGATGATTATCTCTGGCAGTGATTCCTTCTGGGTCACGGTTGCAAAATAAATGCCATCATTAAGCACAAGCATGGTGGCTGAGAGAAATCTGAGTTTTGGACACTGAGGAATGATCATATAGGAACACAAAGAAAGCACAGAAAAGTTTCATGTGCAGGGAGGCAGCTGAATTGTAGCTAAACAGGATCACTTCAAGTTTAAAACACGCCTTGCCAAATTCATACCTTGGGTCTCAAACAATTTGGGTTCCTCATACAGCATCAAGATAGGTAGAAGCCCCTTTGAACATACTTCAGATTACATGAGTAGCACCTGAATCAAGCAGAAGTCCCCAATCACTTTCAGTCTAAATGTGAGCCATACAAAGAGTGACCAGATTTCTACTTTGCATCAGCATGGAAGATAATCACTTGAAGATTCACATGGCTTATAAACTGAAGATGAAAACTGTTTAACTAGGGGCTCCCACATTACATACAAGTTTGAACGAAACTGAAACAGGTAAGATGATTTAAGTGGACACAGAGATACAGTTCTCTCCATATATGCAACATACACAGTCACTTTTCTAGATTCACTGAGCTAAAATAGAAATATTCTCATTCTAGTAACACGCTACCCTATCTAGTTTCAAAAGGTCTCCTGTAAAGCCAGGCAACATACTGAAGCCTTCTCTAGGAGCAAAAAGGAGCCACTGATGAAGGGGAGAGTAGTAGTTACTGCGGTAGACAGATCCATGAACAAAATACCCGAAAAACTGACTTCCTAAATCAAAGGGCAAAGGAAAAAGTAACCAGAAACACAATACCAAAATGCAATTTATTTACAAGGGACTGGAAAAGGCCAACCAAGGGAAGTGCAAGCAGCCCCACAACAGGCAATAACAGAGAAGAATATCTTTAACACACATCCCAAGTGTTTCCCACTGCAAGGCAGAAATTGCTTCCACCACATTTGAAACCTAAAGTAAAAGGCCACAGACATCACTATGGCATGCCACTAGAAGAAAGCCATGAGATCAAAGGTCTCCTCAATACCTATAAGCAGCACATTCATTACATAAAAAATTCAGTCTAGCCCAGGCAGCAGACAATTTCCCAAACTCTTGGAGAAGAACAGCAAAATAATCCCCCACTATTCCTTAAGAATTTATTTGGATGAAAAATTTTGTGATTGCAAATCTGCTTTGTTAAACACAGGTTTGACAGCAGCCAGGAAGAAGAGGTACGCTAGTTTCACTCAAAGCATACATGTACCCTTTTTGATCTCATGGTGGAAAAAAGCTCCAAAACATGAAAACATACTGTGAAGATGAAATACGGTTTCTTCCTGAACAAACCAAAACAGTTGAAATACGGCACAAAATCAATGCGTGAGATGCAAGCAATCCCAAACACACAGGTATCTTTTCTCCTTTCAATTTTCTTCAGATTCAAAGGATCAGACTGGCATAGATTTCCAGAATCATTGCTGTTTTCTTTAATCCACTTCTTCCAAAAAACTTACCAAAGGCATCCAGGCTCTTTGTCCCTGCCCATCTGTTTTATCTGAAAGACCACTTATTCCTGATATTTAGAAATCTAATTTTTTTGTAGAAATCGATTCCTGACTAATTTACATTGATTTCATAATGCATGGATATTATCTTTTCATTTGTGTATTTCTTCTCATTTCTTGTTGACATAATGACCCTGAGACACTTTGGCCCCGAGTGGCCACGTGGCTCAGTGGAGCTGATCTGCTGTTCTTCATTGTACCATAGGCCCCTTTAATACTGACCAAGCAAGGTATGTAAAGAAGGCTCAGATTATCAGTTGTTCACACGTTATTTGTACAAACTCACAATTTACCGTACCTATATAATCACCTTCCGGAAAAGGAACAAAAATTACAGCAATTAAATTACATGTTTCTAAAGCTACAAGTTCTGGTATGTATCCTCTGAGGTATCAAGTGCATGATGGTCAGGGTAAAGATCAGTGCTGCTTTTGAAAGGCTACAAAAGCAGTAAAATACATAATCAATGTTATGCAAAATCATCACAAAGGAAAAAAGCATACCATTTCTAATCCAAATGGGACAGAATTACCCTGCATTACTATTACTTCTTCATAGGCAGCTGGTTTTGTTAAGGATAGACAGGAAGCAGAAACTTCTTTGATCATGTACAAATACACTGGCTAGAATTCATCCTTGAAAAGGTGTTAGATTTTTTTCTGGACACTGAGCTATATGGAAATTGCAATCTCACCTACTTCTCTAACTCGGAGTGACATTTGCCAATTATCACGAAAAATCCATTAATGTAAAAAATAATTTGACAAGAATTACCACGAACAGATCAGAAGAGAAACTCAGTTACTGGAGTAACATGTACAGCTGTTTTAACACCAAACACTTGACATTTCTTGACCCTTTTAACTTACACACACACGTTTTGTAAGCTAATGCTACAGAACACTTCCCAAGTTCTATTCCTAACTCTACTCCTAGAAACAGTTATGGATCTTCTATAATCTGTATCACTTTACTTCACAGTAAAATTTAAACTTCCCCCCCAATATTTAAAAAGCAAGCTGAAAGATTTGACTTTAAAGAGACAGCAATTTAGAAAACATACTGACAACCACCCATACCAGTGAAGAACAGAAATCAGCAACAGCATACATACAGTCTTTCATCTCTGCATGAGGAGTAAAAAATAAAAAGGTTTAAGACTGTTACTAAAATTATTTAGCTTCAGGTGTAAGCAGGATATTAAAAGTTACGGTTTAAGTTTTTAAAAAAGTTTCTTTTTACAATTATTTTAACTGATACTGTGTGTGATTATCATAATTTTATTACAACTTAAGGCACACTTGATTCCTACTCTTTTCACTATGCTTTCTCTGTCTGCTGAGATCTATGAAGTCCTGGAAACCTGCTCCAAGGTGCATCTTCCCTGTGCAGATCACACCAATAACAATTCTGGTTATTAGGGACTTCAATAAATAACCTCTTCCTCTTATGCAGAAACGTTCAGTCATAGAATCATAGAATTATTTAAGTTGGAAAAGACAAATATTTAAGATCTTCGAGTTGAACTGTTAACCCAGCACTACCAAGTCCATCACTAAACTGTGTTTTTTAAATACCATCAGGGGTGGTGACTCCACCACTTCCCTGGGCAGCCTGTTCCAATGCTTAATAAACCTTTCAGTAAAGACATTGTTCAGTCTAAACCTCCCCTGGCACAACTTGAGGCCATTTCCTCTTGTTCTATCACTTGTTACTTGGGAGAAGAGACTGACCTCCACCTCACCACAACCTCTTTTCAGGTAGTTGTAGAGAGCAATAAGATCCCCCTGAGCCTCCTCATCCTCAGACTAAACCAATCCCAGTTCTCTCAGGTGCTCCTCATACGACATGTTCTAAAGCCTGCACCAGCTTCACTGCCCTCCTTTGGGCATGCTCCAGCACCTCAATACCACGTCCTAAAACTATTTTCTTTTTTTTTTTTCTTTTTTTAAAGGGATTTTTGGAAAGTCCAAAAGCACCCTAAAATTCTGAAGGTTGTTCTCTTCCAAAAAAATTAATTGCTATTTTCTTTCCTGTTAACACTCTGCACTTGGAACAGATGTTGCAGCTATGTTAATGTTAAAGAGTGAAAATGAAATACGCCAAGTATAATCTATAGTCTGTGTGCTTAAAATAGAAATACTTAACTAAGCCTTATAATTAGTGAAGATGAAAATTTAAGTTCAGATTTTACATACAATACATTCTGGAACTATTAATAATATCTTTTCTATATCTTCAAAATACACTTGTGTTTCAGATTATGTTTTCCACTGAGCTAGATATCCATATAACTGTAAAATTATAAAAAGTTGAGTGAAAAGAACCCATATAATTGATAAAGATGAAACTATCCATTAATAAACTACTGTTAAACATTAAAGACAAAGACCACATCCTTCTATTGTCAAAAGGAACACAGGGATAGCATACTAACGTACATCCTGGACTGGTCTGTTGTTTCCAAGGGTCTAACATCGACAAATTCAGCAAAGATGTTTGTAATTCACTCCTCCGATGTCAATATTAAAATGATAAAGTAGGAAAATGTCGTGTTCACGCAGGGGATAAAAGGGAAGGTCACCATTTGGATTTTTGAAATTTAAAACATATTACTAAGGTAATTGTTCCTTGTCCACATTTTTAAGAACATGATGCCCCTGCTTAACCTGGATCACTTACCTCCCACATGACCCCCTAATCAAGCCAGACTTCTACCAAACCTGCAGAAATACTGGAACAAGGCTCTGCCAGAACCACCATAGCTCATTTTTGTAGAGCCTGAGCACTTCAGGAAGAATCAAAAGAACAGGTATTACAGAATAGCGAAAAGGTACTCATGTTCTTGTTGACTCAGTTTTCAGACTGTGATCCCACAGTAAAGCTCATTACAATGAGAAACAAAATGAAATAAAGTTAATGGAAAGATCTTGCAACATCTTCATTAACATTAATCCAGTGTTTGAGGCTAAGTAGTTTAAAACGCAATATTTGGACTTTTGCAATCTTCTAGAAGGCTTTCCTATGATATTTTCCTCTACTATTTACATAT